CTCTCTCTCTCTCTCTCTCTCTCTCTCTCTCTTTCTCTCTCTCTCTCTCCCTCTCTCCCTCCTCCAATCAATGAAGCACTTTGTTTCTGGAATGATCTTTCAAAAAAACTACTTGTATGCCCCCAAACCTCATGGCCTAGGGAATAAAGCCCATACATATCCTTCCATTTGCTGTTTAGAGTGTTTTCCAGCACTGTGCAAGGTGCCAGGTAATAGGTGGGCACATATGAGGTGCTTGGTCAGTCTCTGACAATAAAGTAAATCTTTAAGAATAAGGTATTGCCCTAACCGGTTTGGCTCAGTGGATAGAGCGTCAGCCTGCAGACTGAAAGGTCCCAGGTTCGATTCCGGTCAAGGGCATGTACCTTGGTTGGGGGCAACATCCCCAGTACGGGGTGTGCAGGAGGCAGCTGATCGATGTTTCTCTCTCATGGATGTTTCTAACTCTCTATCCCTCTCCCTTCCTCTCTGTAAAAATCAATATAATATATTTTTTTTTTTAAAAAAGAAGAAGGTATGGCCCTGGCTGGTGTGTTCAGTGGTTAGAGCATCGACCTGCACACCGAAAGGTCACAGGTTCGATTCCCTATCAAGGGCATATACCTGGGTTGTGGGTTTGAGTCCCGAACCCACCCCTGGTTGGGGCGCGTGCAGGAGGCAACCAGTCAATGGGTCTCTCTCACACTGATGTTTCTCTCTCTCTCCCTTTCCCCCTCCTCCCTACTCCTCCGCTCTCTCTGAAAAGCAATGGAAAAAATATCCTCATGTGAGGATTAACCAACCAACCAAGCAAGCAACCAAACACACACACACACACACACACACACACACACACACAGGATAAGGTATGGTGTTCTCCTTACTGCCCTCCACTGTCTTTAGTTTGAAAATTTCCTTCCCTTGCCTTTGGCACTTGGACCAGAGGCCTTGGAGCATGGTTCTGCATTTGGAGACAGGAAGAGGCATCCAGGGGCGATAAAATATGGTTCAGGAAATCTCAACTCTGAGTCCCTCCCAATTTCCGATGCCTGCTATGTAGGAGGCTCCATCGAGAAAGCATATTGGCTCGTAAGCCCTGTCTCCCTGCAGTGTTGAGGACCAAGAATGAACAGTGGGAAACTTAGATCTTTTTGTTTGCTTTAATAAAAAGAATAAGGAGAAAGAGGTGAGGGGGTGTGGAAAGGGGTGAATGTAGAACAAGGCCCTGAGTGATGTGTGCCACTCAGGAAACCCAGCTGTCTTCAGGTGCCCCACTGGGACCCAGAATACTCCAGCCTGGATTGAATGATGGCAGATGGTTGTGTTCCAAGAATACTCTACTGGGACTGTGTATGGGGTGAGATGTGTGAGGGTAATGAACTTGCCAGGTGGCAGTCACTGGCACCTAGCCCTGTCTCTCACTCTTGGAGTATCTGATGGCACCAATGGGAGTGGGATCCCAAGCTGGGTGAAGGGGCTATCTGGGAACCAGTTCTGACAATGTCAGCCTCTGTGAGGCTTCCCCACCAATGCAGCCCATCCATCATAGTGTGAAGTGTACCCTTATGGACCCAGTCTTAAAGCAGGTCCAGTCCAGGCTAAGAGCTGCCTGCTAACAGCCTGGGATGTTGGCACAGGCCTCCTGGCACTAACCATGTCCTTCTTGGATTACTCTTGGCACCCTTCTGGTTATGGAAATCTTAGTGTAGCCCCACACAACAGAACCTCTGACTGCTTACCTAGCCCCCAACCCCTCTTGTCTAGCTTAGCTGTCTCCAGCTTTCCTTCTCCTCTCTTTTCCCCTCCCTTGCTGCCCGGATTGGCAGTTAACACTAATTTTTTTTTTTTAGTACATGCAGGCCCCTTTTGTCCTCCCCGCTGGCTCCTTGGAAGCCTGCCCCAGTTTGAGGTTCTCCTTGTTTTGTAAAACCTTTAACAGTAAGAAGCAAAGGCCCTCTGCTTTCCAGAGCTGCAAATGGCTTGGCTGATCCTGATGGAGACAAGGGGACCAGAGGAAGCAAGGAGGTCTCTCTCTCTCTCTCTCTCTCTCTCTCTCTCTCTCTCCCACTGTGCCATAGTATCACATGTCATTTGGGATGTCTGAGTGGAAGGATAACTTTCCAGTGAAATCAGAACAGCAGCTACTGTGGATAGAATGCTTACTGTGTGCTTACCCCAGGCTCAGTGCTTTAGGAGAATTATCCTATCTAATCTTCGTACCAGTCCTATGAGGTAGTAACTACTAGTTCCTGATTTTACAGATGGGGACACGGTGAGAAGTTAAGTAACTTGTCCAAGTTTAGAAGGTGGAGGAGGTGGGGCTCCTGCCTGAATTCAAAGCTTAGTCTCTTTTTCCCCCCACTTAAAACATTTTTCAATTACAGTTTGCATTCAATATTATTCTGTATTAGTTTCAGATATACAGCAAAGTGGTTAGAAAATCACGTACTTTACAGAGTGTCCCCCCCCCCCCGATGCTTCAAGTACCCACCTGGCCCCACACAGAGTTATCACAATATTATTGACTATATTCCCCATGCTGTAATCTACACCTCTAACTATTTTACAATTACCAATCTGCCAATCTGTACTGTTTAATCCCTTCACCTTTTTCACTCCGCTGTCAGTCTGTTCTCTGTATCTATGAGTCTATTTCTACTTTATTTTGTTCATTAGATTTCACATATAAGTGAGATCACGTGATACTTGTTTTTTTCTGTCTCAAAAGGTATGACTTCATTCATTTTTATGGCTGAATAGTATTCTTTGTGTTTATGTACCACAGCTTTTTTAATCCACTCATTTATTTTTATTTATTTTTAAAAAATATATTTTATTGATTTTTTACAGAGAGGAAGGGAGAGGGATAGAGTTAGAAACATCGATGAGAGAGAAACATTGATCAGCTGCCTCCTGCACACCTCCTACTGGGGATGTGCCCGCAACCAAGGTACATGCCCTTGACCAGAATCGAACCTGGGACCTTTCAGTCCACAGGCTGACGCTCTATCCACTGAGCCAAGACGGTCAGGGCAATTAACTCATTTATTGATGGGCATTCGGGTTATTTCCATATTTTATCAAAGCTTAGTCTCTTAACCTCTACATGGTACCACCATTGTAGATCCCCAAAATGCCCTAGAGAGAGGAGTAATTAAAATCCCTTTGTAATATTTACTGAACATGTATGCACGTACCAGGCATTTTTCTAAGTTTGTTACATGTGTGAGCACATTTGAGTCTCCCAATCACCTGTAAGATAAGTAATATTATCTCATATGACAGACGGAGAAGGAAGTGGAGTTTCTGAGAGGTTATCCAGCTTGTAAGTGAGTTGAGAATTTAACCACGTTTGTGAACCTCTGGAACCAGCAGTCTCATCCCCTGCCCCTGCCCTCCCACCCCTTATAAGCACCTCTGTAGTTTGCTTTGCCTGGAACTATGGTGACAGGAGCCTGGGCGGATGTTACTTCCTAACACACATATTATTTGGATGGAGAAGTGAGGCCCAGATTGCTTGTGAGCACATTTTCATTTTCTCCCCTCCCTCCCCTTCCAAATTAGGGTGAAGGTTGCCGAACTCTCCCCCTGGCTGGACACGTGGGGTTTGACAGCTTGCCGGACCAGTTGGTGAATAAGTCAGTCAGCCAGGGCTTCTGCTTCAACATCATGTGTGTGGGTGAGTATTTTCACAGCAGAAAATTCTATTACGGAATATAGATACGTAATAGCTGGATGTGGCTTTGCAGGTAATTAGGTTAAATAGTATGTCATTCTGATCTACTTGCAAGAGTGTCCCTCCCCCTGCTTTCTTCTTTTATCCTCTGCTTGTTTTTTTTTAAACACCTGGCTGTAATGACATTTTCCGCTGGTCAGACGAGAATATGGGGTCATACTTTGAGGGAAAGTGAGCTGTGCGATACCCTGTGGAAATTTTGCAAGAGAGCTTGCTGGCTCGGCTATTGCTGTCAGGTTTGTTTTGGCTGCAGAAAATGGGAGCCACGGCAGAATTGGGATGGAGGTAATGGCTGCAGAAAGATGCATACAGCTGCTGGGTAGTGGGTTGGGTCCGTCTGTTTCCTCTGCAGCCCTGCGATGCTTGCTACAGTTGGAACTCAAATGCAGGGACCACATAGCTTTGTGCAAAGTTCTTTTATTCCCTTTAAGTATATCTCTGCCTGGACCTGTAGTCTCAAATGTGGAAAACCACATCTTAGTCACCTCTGATATGCTAATCTCTGCACACAGAGTTCAATAATGTTTATGAAAGGAATGAATGAGTAAAGCCCACAGGATCCACTTATTATGCTTCTCAAACACTCCCACATTAGCAATTTGGGTCCTTAATAGGGCTTTGTGAAGTGAGCAGAGTGAGTAGCATTCATATCCTCATTGAACAGATGGAGACCCAGAAGCTTGGGAGGATAAGGACTTACTTGAGGCAACACAGAATAAGTGGCAGAGCGAGGACAAGGACCCACGTCTAGCTGACCCATTGTCCCGCCTTCTACTTCTCTAACTGCTGCTAGCAACATGTCCTGAGAACACAAAAGCATTTTAAAAACTCAAGCACCAACCAAATATGAGGAACAAAAGTTCCTTGACATTCTTTAAGAATCTCTCCTTAGACCTTAAAAAATCCCAAATTTGCAAACACGATCATAGCATATAATTTTCACTACACAGTGCAGTAGAGCATACCTACATATTTTCATTGACCTACTTCCAAACCTTAATAATTGTATAATACCATAATAAAGTCCGTTTTCATGCTGGTTGAAACACTCAAATACCTCTGGTAATTGCCTTTTCTTATTCTTGTATAGAGCTTATGGGGAACTCATTCATGTTGAGGATCATGTTGAGCCACTCTTGAATTGGATATTTTACTCTTTAATGTAAAGTTTTCTAACCAAGGTCATTCATTTTCTTCTCCTCCATCCCCAGCACTCTTCCATATCACTTTCTATAGGAGAATAACTGCACACTCAAAGGCAAGTGGAGTACAACAAAGTCACTTCTAAATATGGACGGCAGGCAGTCAGTTAGGCTCACTCACTAGCTTAATGGCTCCCTCCCACACACCAGCTTTGGAACCTATGAAATGAAAATAAGTGCTTCACAAATTTCAGATCATGGGTCTTAGAGTCTAGATCTAGGCTGTTAATTCATCAAATGCCAGAAATTCTCTGATGGTTATGATTAGTTGCTATTAGGAGAAGGATACAACATAAATAGAAGTCACGGTGATTGACATCAAGATGAAATGCTATCACATGTAATATGAGGGCTGCCAGATCTCTCCAATCTTTGGCTGATGGCCAACTTATTTTACATAATATTTGATTACCAAAAATTTCCACACAAACATACTAGATTCTCTTGGCATTCCTCCCAGAGCTTTGTATGACCTGTACTGAAGTTGAGGAGATGAGAAGTGAAATGACATACCCACACCAAGCAACCTTTCAACCAATTGGGTGGGCTAGTAAAGCTTCAGGAGGGAGGTCATGAAACAAGAATAGCTCTCTGAGGGCGGACGTGTGGGGTAATTGGACATGTGGGTCACAGGCTCCCCAACGGCCCAGAGGAAGAGGCAGCCAAGGTCATGGCAAACAAGTGGGAGAAATAGTAAACCCCTGTCTTTGAGTTCCAGCCTAGGCATTGTACAACTGTGAATGCTTCAGCGTGCACCTGCTGGGCTAGCCTTGCTTAACTGCCTGGGACAGACCCTCCAAGAGGGGTGGGGTAGGAAGGAGACATTCATCCCCAAGCAGTCACCCTGTCTCTTTCTTTCCCCTAATGTCAAGTTTCATAAAATGGCTGCCCTAATAGCTCCCCTCTTAGCCCTGCAGGTGCAACCATTCAATGCACCAGCCTGGACTGAGTTAATTTCATTTTTCATCTTTGATGCAAAAAAGCCCTCAACTCATGCATTCTGTTCTCTGACTGTGCTTGCGACCCTGTCATTGCACAGAGAACCCACAATTTGGGCCAAGGTCACAAGCAGCTAAGAGTGGCTCCAAGGCTGCAATCTCAGCTCAGCCATGGGGCTCGGTGCTGTTGCTGACTTGGCGAAGGGTTTGCAGCTTAGCTGCTGAAGGTGATCTTTTCTCTCACAGGACTCAGTGACCATGCTTTCACGCCTGCCTACCGCCTGTGCATAACTGACAGGTTTACTCCCTTAATGACTGTTTGGGCATAGAATATGTTCCCCCAAAGGATTTCTTTTCTTTTCTAATAAGGCAGTTTAAGTGTAAAATTATGGTAGCACTAGCTTCTATTATTAACAGAGACCCAGGGTATTTTTAGCACAGTATTTATTTATCTTGGTGCTGGGCTGCTGAACAGAGGCCCAAGCCCAGCAGAGTGGGTACCCGTCATGTACATGTGTGCATGTGTGTATAATGAGATTGGAAGAGATAATTTTTATGAATCCAGAGCCCAATTTATATGTCAGAATACCAATAAATGGCACCTACAATGATTATTTTTTAGAGGGCTAAGCATATGGGTGTGAGCATATTAAAACTCCTCCTAGCCCTGTCCAGTTTTGCTCAGTGGGTAGAGCATCGGCCTGCGGACCAAATGGTCCCGGGTTTGATTCCGGTCAAGGGCACATACCTTGGTTGCAGGATCCTCCCTGGCCTCGGCCCTGGTTGGGGTTTGTGCAGGAGGCAACCAACCAATGTGTTTCTCTCACATCGATGTTTCTCTCTGTCTTTTCCTCTCTCTTCCACTCTCCCTAAAGATCAATGGAAAACTAACCTCAGGTGAGGATTAACAACAACAACAACAACAAAAGAGACTCCTCCTCAACAAATTCTCTAGGGTTGATAATAATTATTGATTATGTTCCCCTCTCCTAATAAAAAATATCTACTGGTTGCTTAGCTTTGCAAATTGCTAGGATCCCATGATCCTAGACATAGTGCAGGAGGCCTCAGAGGAGCCGCCAGAGACAGCAGTACAAATGTTCTGCTGGGAAAGAGCCCCAAAACGACTCAGCCCTCCGAATGTGCCAGCAACAGTAATGCCTGCGAGGAGCGCAGAGAGTCATAACGATAATATTTACTTTGAAGCTGCTCAGGATTCCAGTCACAACTGGAGTCTGTCGAACTTGGAAAAAAGTATACAAGAGAAGCAGGATTGAGGTTCACTAAAGGAGAGGGGAAGGGCAGCTAGCATTCTATCAAGGTCAGGGGTCAATTGGGAAAGACAAGTTGCCAGCAGCGGTGTGCTCGTCAGTGTTTCACCATCTGTGCTCAGGAGAAAATTGCCATGGTGTGCAGCATTTGCCGATTTCCGTTGTGTCATTATTCCCACCATAGCTGGTTTTTTTTTTTCTGCCAACCTGTCGTCACTGCACATGGGCTTGGGAAGAGCTGCAGGAAGCTGGGCAAGCTGGCTCCTGCACAGCAGTTTGCTCTGCCAGATCAGGAAGGAGAAAAAATCAAGGTCACCAAGCCAGGCATGACCTTGTCCCTGTCCACAGGCTCCCTTGGCCAACTGGAGTTCCTGGAGAGCTTCCTTTTGGACTCCTCCCTTTTGAACTCAGGGATGTTTCTCTTGGTTTATTCCATCATTTGGTGCTGGAAGAAACTTTAGTTCCATGTGACTGAGCTCTATGTGAACAGGGATTGGGGCTCTCTTGTCCACTGCTGTATTCCCCAGCCCCTAAAACGGTGCCTGGCTCCTATTAGAGGCTTTGTAAATATTTGCTCAATGACCGAATGAGCCAACATATCATACCTATGGGATGCACTAGAGCATATTGGTTATAAGCATGGGCTCCAAGTTCAAACTGCCTCAATTCACATGCTGACTCTGCCACTTACTACTTTGTAACCCTGGACCAGTTACTTCATTTACATTATACAGATGAGGAAGGTCAGGGGCAAATGCACATCGCTAGGAAGTGGCTTGGTTAACTCATCTGTAAATTAAGGACAGATAGTAATATCTACTTCATAGGCTCATTTGGGGGATTAAATAAGAAAATACGAAATATTTACAGCAGTGCCTGGCACATAGTAAGTGCTCCATAAATGATAGCTGTTATTACTACTCTAACCTGATCATTTTTGGAGAGGAGACTGAGGCCCAGAGAGGGGAAAGGGCTCCATTCAGGCCACACATTCATTTAGTGATGACATGGCTGGGGCTCTGCATTTCATCACTGGCAAGGACTTCATTGCACAGGTGCCAGAGGATACAAATACTAGCAGCAGATGGAGAAAAGGGCTACAGTTGTTTTTTTTTTACATTTAAAAGATTAATTTGTGAGAGACCTCAATCATTGCCCCAATCAGGGATCAAACCTGAAACATGGGTATGTGCCCTGACTGGGAATTGAACCTGCCACCCATTGGTGTATACAACAACGCTCCAACCAATGAAGCCACAGCGGCCAGGGCTGTTACAGTGGTTTTTAACTCAGCGTACAGAGGTCAACATTAGACTATCCCAGGGAGTATAGTTTGTAAAAGCATATTTCATAGTATGTGGGGTTTTTTTGTTTGTTTATTTTTTTAAAAATCTAGTGTTTCCAGAATACTATCTGCAGTGACTTGAAATCCTCCTGGCTGATGGTGATGACTTTAAAAGGGTTAAACCCTGCTCGGTTATGAGGAGGGAGGAGGAGAGAGAAATTGACCCCTAGGGACTCCTCAGGTTTCCTACTGGAATCTAACTGCCAAGCCCCACCTTCCTGCAGGGGTGTGGAATATGCTGACCTGATCTGAATTTGGCCACATGTGCCCTCCCTCCCACTCAATACTGGGCCGGGGCAGCATGGGAGGGGACATCTTCCTAGGCTCAGGCTGAGGCTGTACCAGCCATTGAGAGAGAGGGCCTACTCTATCCACCCCCAGGCTCCACATTGATGGGAAAGCTGGAATGGGGGCACTCAATAGCCATGGGACGAGCTCACTTGATTTTCTGTCCTCTTCTCATGTTGCGTTTATCACGATTCCCTAGACACCCATGGGTTCTTTTCTTCCAGACATTCGTCCTTGGGCATACAGTTTCCACAGCCCTTTTGTGCTGGCAGGCATTCGGGTGGTCATTTTCCCTGCTGCCACTCCCTGCTGCCCTGCCCTGCCTGCAGGCCTCTATTTCTTCAGCTGTGCAAACAGGGTGGGCCCCTCACCCTGTAGTCCTGGTCCTGAGGCTTGTGTGAGCTGAGCTAGGCACTCTCTGGAGTACAGGAAGCTATCCCCTTCCCTGCTCTCTGAGAATCCTTTGGATCAGAGAGCCAGGGAGCCAGCTCTGGGTGTTGGGGAGGCAGGACCCACCACTCTTCAGTTGTTGCCAGGCATTCAACAAAGAGCTCACGGAACAGAAGAGGGGGTGCAGATGGGAATGTACAAAGCCAGGCTAAAATGTAGCTTGAACCTCAGTACCCAGAGGGAAGGCGAGTTAGGGTGTGGGAGCCACCCTGTGTTTCCACCTCAGAGGTGCTGGCCCCATTTGCAGTTAGCTGTTCCCCACCCTTGGGCGGGGAGGGGGTGATACATTCCGTTGCTTGGCCAAGTCTGTCACCTCCCATTGCAAAGGCCTCACCTCACCACATTTTTCTTGGGACTCAAATGCTTCCTGTTTCTTTGGGGAGGAACAAAGGGGCCTCTTCTGGGAGAATCTTTGCTGCTAATAGGTATAGCAGACCCTGGGTGGAAATATGATCTGTGTGAGGAACCATTTTCCTGCACCCTGACAATCAACCCCATTAGTCAGGCCTGGCTATGGAATTGGGCTGGGGGGCCGGGTAGCTGGCTGAATTGAATGTTCTCCTTGTTCTCTCTCTCTCTCTCTCTCTCTCTCTCTCTCTCTCTCATCTCTCCACACACAGAAGCTCTCATCAACAGATATTTTAAAAAGCACCTCTTGCATTCATAGTTGGGAGAAAAGAGGCATGGAAGATCCAAAGCTAGACGCACCCAGAGGGTGGAAGGGAGATGGACCATTTGCAATTAGGCAGCCCTAACCCTAGTCCTGGACTGCCTTGCAGATACTAGTATGTGCTGTCAGTCACAGGGGGGGATTTGCCAGATCAGGATTTTCACAGTGTAAACCCGCTCTTGACTATAAAGACAGTCAATGCTCACATCTCAGTGGTTGGGAGGGAGAGGGAAGAAGAGGGGTGATGATAGCAGAATGGCAGGGTAGTCTAGGTAGTCAAAGGTAATCCAAGGTAATTAACTACTGAATCTTGTATTCCTGAATTGCTTGGGGCAGGGACCCAAAAACAGTCTGGATTCAAAGAGACTGTAAACAGCTATAATACCCAGCCCAGCTTGTGGCTTAACATCTGGCCTAACTCCCATGCCACCAGCTTCCCTCCAATGTCTCATTCCCTGAACACTCCTTGGCTTATGGCAGTGGCTTGAGTCCCTTAGGTCTTCCAGAAATAGCCTCCCAAACCTTCAGCAGTCCCCAGTAGCTCTTCCCCCACTTGTTTCTTTGGTGTGAAAGTTAAGACTTTGAAATTTCAATGGCTTAATTTATTAGTACCCTGCAGCCTGTTAGTTAAACAAACAAATGACTGGTTTGTTTGAAATTTAAGGGGAAGAATACTTTGTGGCCTGCTAAATTCCCTCCCCATTAGCTGAAAATAGTCCCACTGACTGCTCAACCCCCTGGGAGGAGAAGCCAAAGGCCACACAGTCTCCCCACTGGGACACACATTCATTCGGGCATCGGCAGAGCACTCTGGTCCTGGCAGGGAGGTGACATGGGGACTGAGGGGATATTTATTTGATGAGAGAATGCTGTACCTTTCTTTTAAAATTTAAAATAAGTTTTTAATTTTTATTACTAAAGCTATACATGTTCCTCACAGAAAGTTTGGAAAGTAGAGAAAAGCATAAAGAAAGAAATGAAAACCACATATAACCCCACCACTCACACATACCCATTGGTAAGAATATATTGTATTTCCTTCCAGTCTTTTTCTAGGCATAACTCTACCTCTCCATCATTGCCTAGAACAGTTTCTTTTTCTAACTATAAAACAATGTGTACTCAATTTTCACATAACAAAAAAATGAGGAATAAAAGGAAAATTACTCTAATTGCAACATCCTGAGATGACTACTGCTAATATGTTGATGCAGTTCCTTTCAGTTTTTTCACTTAATTGAGATCAAACAGTCCACTTAGTGTCTTATCATGTACACTTTCCCATGTCAATGAATATGCATCCAAAACATGATGTGGAATGGCTTCGCAGTCACTATGTGAATGGACCATAATTTATCCTTTTGCTTTTCAGGAGAGACAGGTTTGGGCAAGTCTACCCTCATGGACACCCTGTTCAACACTAAGTTCGAGGGGGAGCCAGCCACCCACACACAGCCAGGTGTCCAGCTTCGGTCCAATACCTATGACCTCCAGGAGAGCCACGTGGGGCTAAAGCTCACAATTGTTAGCACGGTGGGCTTTGGGGACCAGATCAACAAGGAGGACAGGTAAGGACGGGGGTGGGGTGGGAGGCTGGTGGGAGGCCATGGAAAATAGCTCACCACAACAGTCTTGAGAGACCAAAGATGTCATGGTCCAACCTAGATCTCTTCTCAGAATGGTATAGGCAGGCAGCAGATCCCTCATAAGTGCCACCTCCACCCAGGGTCCCTGTGTACAGCAACTTTTCTACTCTACACATTTTGCCAAAAGAAGGGTGTCTTTCTAGTATGCACGGGTGAGGTCTCCATTCCATTCATCAGACATTTACTGAGCTCCCATCTTGTGTCAGGTACTTCTGTGCTCTGACAATCTGAAAAGGAATGACCTTGTCTTTGCCCTTGAGGCACTCACGGGGAAGGCTGGTTTTAAACAAATCAGTTCAATTGAGTGATATGCTCTGTCAAGAACAGGGTACAAGGAGGTAAAGGACAAATTACAATGAGAACCCAAAGGAGAGAACAGTCAATTCCATGTGGGGAGGTCAGGGAAGCCTTCACATAGGAGGTGTCCCTGTGCTGACCCTTGAAGAATGAATTGTTTTGCCAGACGGATAAGGGCAGGGAGGGAAGGGCATTCCAGGCAAGGGTAACTGCTTGTACAAAGGCAGAGATGTAGAAGATTACGGTATATTCTAGGGAACTGAAGCTTGCTCTCTTTGCCAGACCAGAGGCAGAGCTACTGTGAAGCTAATGAAACTTAAGCTTCAGGGCCCTCACTTACACAGTCCCCTTTCAAGGCCATGTAACTAATTTTTAGTCATAATATTATATTATCTTTCTTGGAGGGCCCTTCAAATCATATAAGCTTAAGACTCCACAACAAACAAACAAACCCTAGTCTGCCCCTGAGCTAGTGCTGGGATAAGCTGGGAAAAGTAAAGGAGATGAGCCTGAAGACGTAGCAGGTGCCAAGTCCTAGAGGGATTTATAGAACTGCCTATGTCATCTGATTGGCCTTTAAAGAAGGTACTTTGAGATAAACTGGAGAGTAGAAAGATCAATTAGGAGACTACTGGCCCAATTGCACTAGGCCAGAGTTATATCAGGTGCTGGGATAGGATGAGGGGACAGATTTCCGGCTTTGAAGAGTAGACAAATGGTGGCAGAATTCAGTAAGAGAGGATACACTTTTAAAGGAATCACTTCTGTTTTGGACATGTTGAGTTTGAGTTGTCTGTGGACCATGAAGACACTTGATGACCTTCAGTGGTATGCAGCTGAATATACAGGTCAGGAAAGGGTCTAGACCGGAAATAAAGATTTGGGTTAACAAGGTATGGGTGATATGTCCTAACTGCAGACGCATGTAAGATCACTTAGGGATCAGAGTTGAGCGAGATGAACACTAGGCTAAAGATGAAAACCTTAGGCTATTAAGTGAGCAGATGGAGGAAAAGACATCCTAAAAAAGACAGTTCAGGAATAAGCAGAGAGATAGGAGGAGGTCTGAGGTACTTCTAATGGTGTGTGAACGAGGGGTGGGGAGAGCTCAGAGATGAGGATGTGATGTGGGCTAGGGCCAGGAATGGGGTGGGGGTCAGGCACCATCTGCATTTAACTGGAAGTTACATGGTTATCACATGTGCTCATCCCAGACAAGGCCATTTATCATTTTGAGCAGTCTCTGCTCATTCTTTCAGGATTCTATTGCTTCTTAGATGAACTGAATCCCAAATTCTCCTATTTCTTCAAGTTACAACAGCCATTCTTATTTCCTTACAAGGAATATATATAAAATATATGTTTATTGGTTCCAGATAAGAAGGGAGAGGGAGAAAGAGATAGAAACATCAATGATGAGAGAGACTCATTGATTGGCTGCCTCCTGCACGCCCCACACTGGGGATTGAGCCCACAACCCAGGTTTGTGCCCTGACCGGGAATTGAATCGTGACCTCCTGGTTCATAGGTCGATGCTCAACCACTGAGCTACACCAGCTGGGCTGAATAAATATATTTAGTTTCTTAAAAATCGAACTGCTTTCTGTTTTCCATTTAAAATTCTAAACAAAGGACATCTCTGCTTTTTATAGGCTTGTTTTTGTGCTAATCTTATTTGGTTGAGAATGAATTAGACGCTCTGGAACGGGGATATTCAGGTCACAATACGAATGCTTAATCTCAGCTGCACATCGCTCAAGTTCTCGGTTAAATTTCTTTCAGTTCTCAGTAACATACATTCAGCAGATCTAACATTGGAAAACGCCGTGATGGTGGTTTGGGAGGACTGAACTGATACAACACCTTAGAGGCTAATCTACTCCCATTATATTTGTATCATCCTAATTGTATTTCCTGATTATAAATATGATACATACTTATACAAAATCAAATACAGTGATCCCCCTGATCTGTGGTTTCATTTTCTGCGGTTTCAGCTGCCTGCAGTCAACCATGATTTGAAAATATTAAATAGAAAATTCCAGAAATAAACAATTCATACGTTTTAAATTGCACACCGTCAGAGTAGTATAGTGGAATCTTGCATCATTCCACTCTGTCCTGCCCATGATCACATCATCCCTTTGTTCAGGGTAGCTGTCTATGCTACCCTCCTATTAGTCACTTAGTAGCCATCTCAGTGATCAAATGGACTCTCGGTATTGCAGTGTTTGTGTTCAAGTAATCCTTATTTTACTTAATAATGGCCCCAAAGCACAAGAGTAGTGATGCTGGCAATTTGGATATGCCAAAGAGAAGCTGTAAAGTGCTTCCTTTAAGTGAAAAGGTGAGTACAGTATATACAGTACAGTAAGATATTTTGAGAGAGAGAGAGGACATCACTTTCACAAAACTTTTACTTCAGTATATTGTAATAATTGTTCTGTTATTAGTTACTGTTGTTAATCTCTTACTGTGCCTGATTTATAAATTACACTTTATCACAGGTATGTATGTAGAGAAGAAAACACAGTATACATAGGGTTCAGTACTATCTTGGTTTCAGGCATCCACTGGGGGTTTTGGAACGTATTCCCTATGGATAAGGGGGGACTCCTGCAATAGAAACTAAAATAAGTAGAAACGACCCTGGCCGGCGTGGCTCAGTGATTGAGCATCAACCTATGAACCAGGAGGTCACCGTTTCATTCCCGCTCAGGGCACATGCCCAGGTTGGGGACGCTATCCCCAGTGTGGGCGTGCAGGAGGCAGCCAATCTCTCTCTCTCTCTCTCTCTCTCTCTCTCTCTCTCTCTCTTTCTCTCTCTCTCTCTCAAATCAATAAAAATATATGAAAAGCCTCCCTGAAACGGCTGGAGAGCAGAGGTGGAGTAAACTCCAGGGATTTGTAATTTAAAAACCCCAATGTTTTCTCCATATAGATAGGGCCATTTGGGCATAGAGATGTCAGTGCAACTACATGGAAACAGAGCATCCGAATGCCTGCTTTACTCAGGGTGCACGGATAAACAGGGACAGTGATGAATGCCATCATTTATTTTTCCTGGAAAAAGTCACCATTAAAAAGATTCTGGAGCAAAGGGAACCCAAGAGGGAGACAGAAGGACTGGCTGGAGAGGGGCATAGGCTTAGGAATTTAGGCTTTGGTCTCAGACAGACCTGGGTTCAAATCTCATTTTGCCACTAATTAGCCCAGGGATTTTGGACAAGTGTTTTGTGCCAGCTCCTGTGGTGTTGTGGCCAGATAGGCCCCAGTGATTCTTACTGTGATTGGAAGACACCCTCTGCATTAACCACTGGGAAACTTTGGGTGTGTGGGGGGGGGAGGTTTATTACTCACAGGTCCTGGAAAGCACAGGGCATACTGGCCACACTGTGAGAAAGAGAGGGAGCACATGAGCCTGGGATTCTGTTTTGATTGAGGTTGAGGGTTTGGGGCTAAGGTTTTGTCGGCTCAGTCTTTACTGGTGAATTTAAAACATAGGAGCAGGAATTTAAAGTGGGGGAAGAGCCCTAGCCAGTTTGGCTCAGTGGATCGAGCGTCAGCCTGCGGACTGAAGGGTCCCAAGTTCTATTCCGTCAAGGGCACTACCTCAGTTGCAGGCTGCCGGCCCTGGTTGGGGGCATGTGGGAGACAACCAACTGATGTGTCTCTCTCACATCGGTGTTTCTCTTTGTCTCTCCCTCTCCCTTCCACTCTCTCTAAAAATCAATGGAAAAATATCTTCGGGTGAGGATTTTAAAAAATAATAATAATAAAATAAAGTGCAGGAAGAGAAAAAAACTAGTGGCCCAAAAGTTCAGTTATGGGAATCAACCAAGATCCCTAAAACAAAGGAGTTTAAGGCAGAGGTGGGGGTAGCCTAGCTCTCCATCTTTAAGTGGCTGGTGATGTGTTTATTCAGATAGCCAACTTTGAAGTGGATGCCTTGGCAATCAAAGCTCAAGTCAGGCACTTGTATTACAAAAGAGAAAAAGAGAACTGTCAGGGCTTACACTACCATAAGATACAAATTCTCTGCCTCAGTTTTCTCACCTGTAAAGTGAGGGTGATGATAATACTACTATCTACCCTAAAGGGTTGTGGTGAGGCATAGTTGACATGTATGGCATATGAAAAGCTTAAACAGTGCCTGGCACAGAGTAACTAATGAACAGAAGATACTGTTATAATCATGACTGTTATTGGTAGAAGAACCAAGGGAGAATTATATCATGTAGCATATGGGAGGAAATGATAAATGGTGTCCAGGAAGATAAGGACTGAAAAATATCCATTGGGTTTGGTAACAAGAAGGTCATTAACACATTTAGGAATAATAATTCCAGGGAAATTGTGGGTAGAAGCTAGATTGCTATGACTGAATGGGAGATAAGGAAGTAAAAGCGTCAGAATAGCAAAAAGAGTAATAGAACAGAAAAGTGACTCCAAGATCAAAGTCATGTGTATATGGACATTTAGCATAAGGAAGTCATCAGGGAGAGAATTGACTATTCAAGAAAATGCGCTGGGAAAATAGGCCATCCATTAGGAAAAAATAAGAAGAGACCCTCCCACACAAACATCATTTACAAAAATAGATTCCAGTTGGATTAAAAACAAGT